AACAATTCATATTAAAAAAAAAAAAAGAGTAAAAAAATGGATGTAATTAAACTTACAAGTATTCCCATGTTTTGGCTATAGCACCAAGATCCCATATATATTTTACATGGTTTTGCCGTAATGTTAGAAACTATGGCGAATGCACCTTAGGGTACAAAAAAAGTGAAACGAAGTGAAGTCATAAATAAAAGAAGGACATGCTAGGCCATGGAAGGGAAATAAGATAACATTAGCTATGTGAATTAAAAAGACAAATAAATGAGTTGCACATTAAACTATTATTCAATTACTGCTCGAAAAGAACCCTATAATGGTGGTACAATATATGTATTAAGTGATTATGAAAATGACTTACTTACTTAATATTATATCAAAGACTGAAAAAATTTCTAAATTTTTTAATCTAATAGTTAATATAAAAAGTATATATTTATCAAATATATTAAATTATATTGTATCTTAGGTGATTACATTAGTTGTAACCTAATAAATAAGATCATCTGATATCATTATATAAAAACACATACAAAAAATAACGCAACACGTATAAATATGCTTTAATTATTTAGCAAATAAAATATTATTTGTCTATAGAATAAGAAACAAATAATATAATAATAACGCAATGGCAAAAAAGAAAACGTGTGAATTTTCTTAGAGAAGTATGAATATCAATATTTACAAAAAAAAAAGTCTTTTAAAATTACTACTTTTTTGTTGCTAGCGTTTAAATATGTGGACTCCGTAAGAATTGGTTATCATAAATAATGATCTTATAATATTTATTTTTAATTTTAAATAATTAAAAATAAAAATTTGTAATACATAATGTATATATTAATTATGACTCCATAATATAAAATTTACAGATGACTAAGAGTATCGTAATATAATAGAATTCTAATTCTTTTCATATCAAATATTTTAACAAATGATATGCTTGTCAATATTTTCTCATTGTTTTGTTTGTTTTGTCTTGTCATTGTTGGGGAATATTGAAATGGTCTTTATCATGAATTTTATAATTATTTTGTATGATGAATAAGTTGGACAATAAAAGCATTAAAGATGTTATTAGGTACACATATATTGCAAATTCAAACAAATGTGAAAGATATTATGATAAACAATTCAAAAATCATTGCAACAACCATGATGGTGAATGATTTTCAAATAATAGATTATACTGTTCGTCTATATTCCAAATAAATAACAATGAAAATGAATTGTAGACATGTCAAAATGGGCCG